TTCTCTTTTCCCCCTTCCCCCAGGCATGTCACCTTTATTTTCCTCACTTCTAAGCTCCAAAGGCCCTTCTTTTGCCCCTATAACTTGTTTCCTAAGCCCATTTCTTCTACGAATTACTTCTTCCACCTCTGTGATTTTCTAAATAAATGCTCTCTTATAGTTTGAGTCTTGGCTCTGAATTCTTTCCTAGCCAGAACTCAAGTACTGAGGTTGCTGAACCCAGGTCTGGTCTGACCCCTCTGGTCCAACACCTGGTGCTGTTTTCACTGCCTCCAATATAATGCATCCAGCACAATCTATATACAACGAGTGCTTGGAATCTGTCCCTTGCTTGTCTGCTTTTGTCCCAGGAGCTAAACGAAAAGTAAATTACACAAGTCTTCTGTGCAAATGACCCCCTGCTAGTGGACATGTCTAGGGTTTGCTTTGCAGATGCCCTGCCCTACTCACCCTGGTGCTTACAGACAGGTGCTAGCTGCCCCTGCTCCCCTTTTCCAAAAAAGGCTGGCCCGTCTTCCCTCTCAGGTCCTCTTCGCCTGGATACTCATCTGGCAGGAGGTAGCTTGACCATTTCTCTTCCTGATTTTAATGACGCTTGCAACGAGGTTATGCTGGGCTAGCCAGGCAGCTTTGAAAGAGAAAATTCATATCCAGCAAAGGAATAAAATCTCTTGCAAGTAGAAGGAGATTGGGCAAGAATATCCCTGTTTGACAGATGAAGAAACAGACAGATGCAAGGTGACTTGCTCAACCTCTTAATGCTTATTAGCCACCAAGCTGGGCATGGAATCCATATCCCCAGTTCTACAAATCTTGCCAGGGGAGCAGTCCACTTTACAATGATGTTCATTGGACAACACTAGAGATCATAGTACCTTCATTACTGTTGCAGCTTCCCTGTTTGAACTTTCTCCTTGTGGTCTAATTGGATGTTGTTATGAGCAGGTAAAAGCCAAGGTTCCCTTCTCTAGAAGGATCGAGTTTTCCCTTCCGACCAGTGCTGATTCGGGCGCAGCTTGGGTAGAGCTTGCAGCTTTGTTTCATCCTGGTGCCTGCGCATCCCGGGTCTGTGCTGGCTGGACTGCTGCTTCCAGCGCCCTCCTCTGTCCCCGCTTTCTCCATGCTGTCAGCTTCTTCGCCGAGGCAGACGGGCGGTGTCCACTCCTCCCTCCTCAGCAGCATCAGCCTTAGACTTGGGCAAGTGGGGACCCTGCTCTGGACCTTGTGCATCACAGAAACCTGCTCTGACTCTCCCCCCAGCCACACCCCTCTCCAAGGGACAGGAAGTCTGTGGAACCAAGGGGTCCTGCCCACACAGCACCTATCTCCCACCTCCCCGCTTCCAGCCCACTGTCTGAGTACCTGGCACCTTGGAATTTTTTGCTCAGATGTCCCCAGCCTGCTAGGTGGGCCTATCTGGCCTCTTTCCTGAGACTATCCTCCTGAGCAGCCCTAGGCCAAGGGCAGCATAGATGGAAACTCAACAGGCTGGCCGAGGCGTCCAGGCCTGTGCATTGCAAGGTCTCAGTGCAGAACAGAGCTGGGAGGGAGAAGACACAGGCCATGGGCTGGGAACAGAACCCCAAAGAGCCTGGAATTCAGAGTTCAGGTCTGGCCTTCCAGACTGTTATGAAGGCCTATCTGTCAAGGTAGGAAGAGAGTACATATTTTATCTAACAGTATGTCAATTTAATTTATAACTTTTACTACTTAGGCATATGGTACGTGGGCCTCCATTTCTACTCTTGCCCCAGGTTTTGCAACTGTTAAGAACAGGCCTGCTGTTCTTTTTTTTCTCCCTTTAAAACCTACTCCAACCAATTCCTGATTTTCACATCAGACCTCATGGTACTTTAGGAAAAAAAGAAAAGAAAAACCCTACAACCGGTTCAATAAATTGCACTGTGTCCGTACAGCGGACTACCCAAGAGCTTCTAAACGGAATGAGGCAGCCTGGTTTAGGCTGCTCCTGGACCAAGGCCAAGAGGAGAGTGCAGAGCAGCGTGAATGGTTTGCTAACAC